GTTTYGTAATGCTTTAGAGATGTGGCGGTTTGGTGCTTTTGTGTAATTAATTGCAAACTTCTCTTTCAGGAAAGTGAAGAAGCAAAGAAACTGAGAGAAGAACGTCTGGCCCAGTATGAATCAAAGAAGTCCAAAAGTATGTATAGCAAGAACTTCGTAATCTTTTATGCTTGAGTTAATTTCCATGCATTTGAACGGGATGGCTAGAAACACTAATTARCTGTAATAATAGATCAGCTTGACTGGAATGAGACAAGACTAATTGGCTTCATTGGAATTGCCTGTGAACTCACCCTTCCTGTAGCAAATGGRAATGTTAACATACTTTTTGTTCTGCTTGATACACTCTTGCTTGTTCTTTATAGAGACTGAGCTTTCCATATTGATGGAGATAACTCGAGGATTTTATTTGAAAGATTAGAGAAACTGCTGCAATATGCAAGTTAGTCCACAGCTACTGGTCTGGAAATGTTCAGAAATGTAGCAGTTCCAGTATTCCCTCTGTGGCAAATAAACTGTTACACAGCATTAAGCTCCTTCTCAGATCTTCTGAAAAGGACTCCCTATGTAACAAACACTGTCAGCTACTTAAATCTGTGTTTTCTTCGGGACTGTTTCTCAAGGAAATGTATCTACATATTGAACGTTGGGATATACACAGCTGCAGTACTTAAACCTACATTGGTACCACAGGCCTGTCACAGCAAAAGTTATTCTCATAAAATTAGTTTGCAAGTATATACATGAGTTTTTGGAAAAACCCTTCCTTTTCATGGTGATCTTCTTCCTCYAGAACCAGCTGTTATTGCCAAGTCATCAATTTTGCTTGATGTGAAACCTTGGGATGATGAGACAGACATGGCCAAACTAGAGGAGTGTGTTCGAAGCATTCAAGCAGATGGCTTGGTCTGGGGATCTTGTAAGTATGGGAAAAATGCAGAGCAGGGCGAGGGAGAGAGTGCAGTCATGTGGGAAGATGTATGAGTTGTTGGACTTGGGGTCAGTGCTGATCTCTGAAGTGTCTTTACATGGTCAGAAAAAGTGTATTAGTGCAGTGGCCTGGTTAARATTCAGAGGTTTTAAAAGCTATAAAACTTTTACAAAGATAGATCTGCTATCCTGTACAATTCCTGAGGCAGCAGACAAACATGTTTGGTTTARGGGAGGGGTGGAGGTCCACAGAAAGAAACCCTTTTTCAATCACTTCCAAGAAACACTGGGTTGTTTCTTAGATGGTCCATAATGTGGAACAGAAGCTTGTGTTTATGTATTCCTGCAAGTTGCTTTGGTCAGTTCAATCTTAGATTTGTGTTTTTAGGAGATTCCACCAGTTAAGGAGTACTAAACACCTTTGTTTTTTTTATTTTGCAGCCAAGCTAGTACCTGTTGGCTATGGCATCAAAAAGCTTCAGATCCAGTGCGTTGTTGAAGATGATAAAGTTGGAACAGATATGCTGGAAGAGAAAATAACAGCATTCGAAGATTATGTACAATCAATGGATGTAGCTGCTTTCAATAAGATTTAAGTCTTGATATATCTAGAATAAATGTTGTTGCAAAAAATATGCTCTGTCTGTGCTTAACTGAAAATCTTAAAGTAATCCAGCTCACAAATACAAGGTTTTYTTAATGGGCAAAGTAGAAACTGAAACTGAAGTTCAAGGTTGCTCTGACACCTCACTGTAGTACCCAARAGCATAAGCAGAGAAAAYAGAAAACTTGTATTTACCACCAGTTCAGAGTTTACATTAAATGGCTTTAAAATATTGAAATGTTCTCTGCTCCATCTGTGGAGGAAATTGCATCTTCACAAATGTCTGTAATTCCTCTGCAATGAGGGATGGATGGCTTTAAGGGGAAAGAGCAGGGCTCTGTCAAAGGGCGAGTAATGTTTCAGTGGATAAACSAAAGTATAAATTCCATTTTAGTGAGGGTGTTGACTAAATACACTGTGACTTTTGTTGAAAGGCAGAACTCCAGAGAGACAAAGCTGAGTTCTAATAACTGCAGTGCTCTAAAACTGAGGGCTGAGACTACCTTGAGTACCTTTTCACTTGTTGTATGACATGGAACTTTTTTTTTTTTTCCTTCTGAGGGTTGGAAACATTTGCAATAGAATTACGTTGAGATTTTTTTTTTTTAATTAGCACAGCAAATAATTATCAGCTGCTTCCCTGCGGGTTGCGGGGGTGCCTCTTGGGGGCGCTGYGAGCCCGGCGGTGCCCGGTCTGGCTCCACTGCAGCTTCTGACTGACTTACATAACAAACCTGGCATCTGCTCCTGACTGAAAAATAGTTCTAAAAACTACTGAAAATGCAAATACATGAGGTATATAAAAAATAGTGAAATTAATATCAGTTTGTGCTGTTTACTCAGCTCCAGATTGGTTTCTAGACTGATTTGACTTTTTTTTTTAATGTTTGAAGAGCCTGTCAGGAATTGTTTCCCAAAAAGTATCCATTGGAATGATACAAATGTCAAAGCTGTTGAAGTTGCAAAGCTTCTAGACAAACGCACAAATCTACGCCTTGTACTGTTCTGACAGAATTTACAGTGACCATGAAATGGAATCCTTTTGTGTGCCACATTGGTCACTCTTGAGATAAAGATACTCAGTGTCAAAGCCAGACAGCAGCAGCTTAAGTAACTCTTTTTGTCCTTTCTTTTTTTCACAGAGCATCTGTGTTATCTGGCACAGCAGGATGTCTTTCTCCTTGTCTAAAGGTCTGCCAACTTCAGATTATGTAAGAGCTTTGTTTATAATTCATCTCAGAAAAAAAAAATCTGCCTGTTAGAGGCTTAAAACAGGGTTAAAGATTTGAAAGTGGCATAACTACAGACTCACTTGCCTCCAAAAAAACCTAACTCCTAAAGGACTAACTTCATCCTGTGTGTTACTAGTGCACAGTAATACCCTTTTTATGGCAATTCTCTAATTGTTGCTTCTGCTAAATCAAGTAGCTTACCAATTCTGTCATGGTGCTGTTAAAAGCAAGAAATTGACAAACGCCATATCAGAAAAACAAATTAATAATTTGTTTTTAATAAATCTGCCTCATTAATAAGGGTTTTACTATGTTTCTGGCCTTTATTCAACATGCTCCTTACCTTTATGCTCTTCCCTTGGCCTTGAAATTAAAGCTCTAAGTGGATAAAATGGTTTGATTTATAGATGGCAACTTTGCTAAAATACAGCACTGAGTCATCCATGTGACCTGCCAGATTGGATTTGTGTGTGTGTGTGTGTTATGTTTATGCTTAGCATGCATGTACAAACTGGTTTTTGAGATTTCTTTTGTGTCTTAGGTTTTGGTGGGTTTTTTTTCTTTGATGTTAAGAGGAAAGTTGCTGCACAGGAACAAAACAAAACAAAAAAAAAACCCCAACCTTAGAGAGCTGTCTTCCCAATGAGAAAATAGGTAGGCATGTGGGCAAGAGAATTCCACTCAATCCATATGTCTTTATGTTAGGTGTTYCTGTGTAGTGTTTGGGTATGTGCTGGTATATTACTGTGTCATTGGTGCTGTGAAAAATCTGCACCTTGGAGTAAATGAGGCAAGGGATCCCAAATGCACCCCATAACAAAAAGATTGGTAGAAAATTCCATAACTTCAACAGGTGATATATGGGAATACTGGGGAAATAGTTCTAACAAGAACTAATAATCTACATAAAAGCCTKCAGAAACACAAACTGTCCAGGAAGGGGAGAAAATTAGATAGAACCTGTCTATTATGAGATGTGTCAAKAACTATTTCTATAGTATATCTTTGCATGACAATACAGATTCCTTTTTCTGGCTCTTTTTTTTTTCCATTGTGGTGAGTTGAATGAGCATTCCTTAGTCCAAGCAGCATAGAATTGTTCACATTGTTTTGGAAAATCTTTGGAAACAGAAACTTAGTGCATTATCTGTTTTGTTTAGGTGTCTTGAGTTACTCTTGAAGGAATGAATTACAGATAATTCTGTAACTGATCTTGGTGTGARCAGTAGTAGTTACATTGGGCAATTGTTAATCCACTTAATTCCATAGATCAAGGCTGATTTTGGCCTTATTCAATTCTATTCTCTCTCCTGTCTGCTTCAGGCCACACTTTCTGATCATTCATGCAAGGTGGGACCATATATGTTTCCCCATTTGAAAATCAGTCTCTGTGCTGGAGGTAGGAACATGGGTGTGCACACAGATGATGTGCTAGAAGAAAGATGACATGAACCTTAATTCCCATAGTACAAATGGCTTGATTTCACCTTCCAAAATCGTTAGGAAGGAGTTGTAAGAAAAGACAGTCACCACATATTGCTGCTAAGAAAAGCAAATGAACATGCCCTTTAGAAACAACAAATTTTTATTACTTCACTTGGACTACAGTCAGGAGAGTACATCATTCTTAGAAAGATGTCAGGGAACATGTGAAGAAAAACTGCAAAATGTTTGATTTGGGCACATTTAGGAGCACAGTGCTAAAATATTATGATGAGTAACCATGTACCAGGCAGCAAATGACTCAAAGGAAGAATGCTGCTTACCAGCCTTCCAGCCCAAAGGGAAATACACTGAAATTCCAGTGATCCTGCCTGACTCTCTGAGACTCTGAAATCAGAGCCCAAAGAAATAGTTACAGACCACAGTCAGACTGTTTCTTTTTATGCAGCTACCAATATTGGATGTGCTCATGCATACAGATATGTTTTATACAAAAGCGAGTCTATTTACATATGAGGCCTCAATTACAGTATAAATGCTACTAATGTGTGTTGSCAGGCCCCATAAACTAGGTAGATTATCTAAAAGGCAGTTTTATTCTACATGCTTGGGCCAAAAACTAGGAAAAAAAACCAGTTCAAATTTACCCAAAGCTCTATGCTTTTAGTTTTAGTGGAGTTTTGTCCCACATTCAACTTTTTAATTAAGTGGTATTGCATCAGAAATTGGTTCATTCCACATAGCATATATATTTGTATATATATATATATATATATATTTGCATTGGCACAAGTGTGATTCTATGACAAGCAACAGGTTGGAACAGAAGACAGCATAACTGGGACTACTTCATCTTTCTTATGGGAGTGGACTTCATTTCCTGGATGAACTGTCTTGCCTCTTATTTGGAAAAGATGTCTGAATTTGGCTACAGAGTTAGAATACTGAGGAATTCACTCCACCCATTTTTTTAAGCTTGACATTAAGGCAAACAAAATGTCGTATTATTTCTCTTTGCTTGAAAGAGCAATAAAGAGGAATCAATAGTTGTAAACCTCTGTAAGACTAAAATTCTAAAAATAGAAAAAGAAGTGTGGCACAGAAGCTGTAAGAAATATTTTCACTAATTCTTTGCACATTTCAAATGAGCCTAATACCTATATGAAACATCTGCTCTGTATTTTGCACCCAGCTGGTGCTAAAAACATAAGAATAAGGGACCTGTCTTTGTTTTGAGTATAAGACAGGTATTTGAGTATAAGACAGGTTTTATTTCCGTATTTTTCTTTTTTGACAATAGAAGGAGGCAATTCAGTGTTCTTTCTTTTGGGATTCTTCTCCAGCTGCAGAGTGGAGCTGCTGATAGCATCACTTAGGTGGGATGTAGCCAGGGGATTGCTCCTTGAGGCAGAAGTAGGCAATCAGGACACTCATGACCCACTGATCACAGCCACAACCTCTTGGATAAGAATGCCTCAATTAAGAGTGGCATCAGCAATGGCAAGGAGGAATATTTTTATTATGTGCTCTTTTGATATCAATGAGTTATGGAACCACAGCAAAACAACAGGATTATAACATTCCTCATCAAGAGCCCAGTAAGAGTAATTCCACTTATGCTGACAACTTTCAGTTCAGGCTGTATGTGAGTTGCAAGGACACACATCCAAATCATGTGTCCCCTCAAAACCTTTCAATTAAAGCAGCAAGTGCAATTAAGCCAGCTGTTTACAGAAAACTGTCTATGCAAAGATGCACATTTGACTGGCAGATGTGAAGTGAAGAACGCCTCCAAATCTGCTGTCAGCTTTTATGGAGAGAGTTGGTGACAGGAGCAGTCACTGGGCAGTTTCACAGTAGTGCACGGGTGCATTGTCTGAACTCCAGAGCTGCTCACTGACTGTTCCTGAGCGGCTCACCTCCCACAGGGCCAGCTTCAGCACCTCAGAGACTGTGCTCTTCACCTGTGCCTGGAACTTCTTGCTTATCAGAACATAGAGGATGGGATTGAGGCAACTGTTGATGAAACCAAGGCCAGTGGAGAGGGGAATGCCATCCTGCAGCAAGTCATGCAAGTTTTCATCGTGGTGAGCTGACAGCTCCACAATGCTGAATATATGATAYGGCGTCCAGCAGASAAAAAAAGCTACAACTACAGCAATGATGGTCCAGAAAAGCCTGCTAGAAGTTAATACAGTTCTCCTCTTCACTTTGACAATCAGCAGCGAGTAGCAAATCACCATGGTCACTAAAGGAAACAGGTAACCAAACGCAAGCCTCACCCAAATGAGAATGTGATGTGTCAGCAAAATAAGTTCTCTGTCGTGCACRTGGAAGTTGTTGTAGCAAATGGTGACATTGTTGAGAACTGTAGCTGTGTCTCTGAAGTATAAGGCAGGGCCACCAATAATTGCAGCTGACATCCAAATGATCCCGCTCAGAACGAGGGTGTTCTTCACAGTCCTRTATTTGTAGGAAAAAACCGGGTGGACGAGGCGGATGTAGCGGTCAAGGCTGATGAATGTCAGGAAGAAAACACTGGCAAACATATTAAGCAGTGCAATGAATGAGTTCATTTTGCACAGCCACTTCCCAAAAGGCCAGTGGAAGCCCATTGCCACGTATGTAATGTAGAGGGGCAGGAAGAGAACAAAAATGAAATCTGCGATGGCCAGATTCAGAAACCAGAGTGTGGAAACRGATTTATCCCACTTAAAGCCCATAAACCAGATGACAATGGCATTACCTGGCACTCCCAGCAGAAATGCCACACTGTAAAAGAAAAGGGAAATAATATGGGCGATGCTGAGGGAGTACTGGGGTGACTCATCCTCCTCAGACAGATCGTAGAAATAAGAGTAGTTCTCAAAATCTTCGAATGTCATGCTGCAGAGTTGTTTTCTGAGGAAGAAAATACAAGAAATGGTCAAAAGAGAAATGTTTTACTGCACTGTAAATARTAAACAGCAATTCTTTCAAGTTCTTGGTCATAAATCAAAAACATTACCTTAGTTTTGCATATCTAACACTTTTTATCTGTCAGTTGCTAGCACAAAGCTCATGGAGAATTTTAGTCCCAGGCATTTCAAGAAATGTTCAAATCAAAACAGCACTTGAAATCTTCAAGTACTGTTTTCCTTACATTAATTTCTTAACAGCACTGAGCACAGCATCACTGATAAACTTCTRGGAGACCAGGTGCAAAGTTTTACTGAAGTATGATTTTGCTATTCTGTTCTGGTCAGGTTTCATATTTTATCGTTCTGTTCCTTTGTGAAGCAAGTTTTAKGGATATGTATCTGTCAAAGATCAGAGGAGCATCAGTCATCTATGTAGGGAAAAAAGTCCACCTAAAATGCCAGGAWGCCATCTTTTATAAAATTACACCCACCACCCCTGCTTCAAATTATAGCTAACAAAATGACAGACAGCAATTTCTTCAGCAACTAAAAGTTTATGGGTTTATTCATCTCTTTCATGTATCTGTCGTGTATCAAGAAATCATGATTTTCAGGCACATTTTAAATGTTGGATTTGCTTTACACAGCAAAGGATGCAGAGAAGGAAATACACAGAAAATGTTGCAGGGATAATACATACAACTGTGGTATTCTTCCACTAGCAGCCTGAGAGCAGGTAATAGATGGAAGAAAATTAAACACTGCAAGAGCTATAAATAAAACTATTTGTGTGTCTTTTTTTAAGACAGAGCATTCAGAATTTTCTTTTTTCTCCTCTTGCAAATGCTTCTGGAACTTACCAATACAACATGATTTTTCCCATATAAATTTTTTCTGTGGCTGGAAGGGAAGGTGAGGGGGAGGGGAAAGTGAAATACAAACCAAAACAGAGGAAATAAAAGAAGAAATTAATGGGAAAACAGACAGGAAACAGAGTTTGAACAACAAAAAGAAAAGCAGTCAGAAGTTATTTCACAGTATTATTTTAYGGTGTTTATTTAACAGTGTAGACAAAGCTGCCACACATAACAGGTGGCTACAGTCAGACAAAAGTATCTGCAATGATCAAAACGATTATCCTGCTAAACTCTATCATCATTTAAAGCTGAATTGTTTGGCTGRACTCAGCTGCACTGAAAACCTGTGCCTGAGAGCAGAATACAACCAGTCAATTAGCTGTACTATGAATTATCTTACCCCTACATTTCTGAGTGCGACCAAATCCGAAASCAAAATTCAGCCCGTGCTCTTGGATCTCAGCCTGCATTCCTTTAATTCCATGATTACAGTGTGCTAAGCACAACAGGAGAGGGGTCTCCAGAGCACACTGCCTGCAGAACTACATCTGCAAAATCARATTCATGGACTTACCTTTCCTCCACAAAGTAGTTCACTCAGTTTGAAAGGATTAGTCACACYAGTGAAGCTACGCATGTGCACACGCATTAGCAGGATTAGACTTCTCATTTGTAGATGGATAGACAACGAAGGAAAAAAAAGGTTGTGTAATTTTATATCTCTTGATTAAGAAAATATGTAGTAAGAGTCAGCCCAGCCTGTTCTGTCAAGAGGCTACGATAGCATTTGTAATTTACATCAGGCTGAAGGAATGTTATTTGGCTTGCTGTCCTGATAAAATGATACTTATTGGGCTGCATTTATGTAATTACATGCCCCTTGGGGGTGCATACTGCATCAAATACCACTACCACCCATCTGAGTAATTTTTTCAAACAGATTAACAGCTGCTGAGAGAAGAGTATAAACATGGAGCAGTACCACTAACATCTGGAACATTACATGTGGACAGTTTCAAAGGACAGTCAGGTTAATTACTGGATTTTTAGGTGGGTTTGCCTATACAAAAAAAATACACCTTCAAATCAAATTTATGCAACTAAACAAAACAAATTTCCAACTATAATGACAATGATAAACATTTGCCTACTGCCCAACAATGTTAATTTTATATTTCACGTTTTAAAGATRATGTATAGCAGGAGAAAAAACACATACCTAAATAAAAGCCAAATATTTCCCAAGCCTCCTGTAGTTTAAAACTCCATTGAAAGAGCACACCTTTAGAATGCAATTATTTTTCCAAGCTTTTATTTTTCCTTATCTCTAACTCTAGTCTTCAATGCAGTGACTCTTAAGCAGAAGGAGTGAAAAAGCAGAAGGAACACTGCTTACCACTGCTGCCAGTGCACAGATGCTGAAATTAGACTATGGCTAGGGCTCAGCAAAGACTGCCAATTACATTTGTGAAGCCCAGAAACTTTTACTTCTGACATTGATACATACACACTTCTACAGCAGGACTCATAGTGTTAAGCTCTGCTCTGGAAAAGATTGTGTGAAAAGTTGGTGATTGTCAATGGAGTTACACTGGTTTGCATCAATAAGGACACAAATTTTCTTCATTAACCGTACTTCTGCAGGGAAATTTCTATGTGGTCTTGAAACACATTCTTCTCATAATATATATGACTCTGAAATTAATAAATTTCCAGAGTCAGAACTGTCTTGCAGTTCAAGTTAGATCTTGTGAAGAAATTGAACCCTATTCCTTATTCTGTCAYTAATTTCCTGTATGTTCTTTGAAAAATGGTTTACTTTCCGAGCTGGAAAAATTTTCATGAACYTGTCTGCAAACTGAGGCTCAGTAGAGAAAACAATACTTCTAGACAGCAGTTTCTGCTTGGCTTTAAGGCAACTGCTAGAAAGGGTAAGGGAGGTTTGGTGCAGTTCACTGGCTCAGTGTCTGCTGGTCTAGGGAGCAGTGCATGGAAAAGGTTTTTCAATAAACAGGAAAGTGTGGTTAGAGGCCTGCCAATAAGGGTGCAGCCACAGGTTACAGTATGGATTAATATAGCAAAGTTTAGACTTCATACTGTCCTTTCTTTAAAATTTTATTTTAAATAGCAAACASCCTGTGTAAAGTGTACGCTCAGCAATTGCTTGACGAGTCTGTTCCTGTTTGCTGAGGTCACAGGCAGCTCTGAAAACTGAGCCTCCTTCATTCAGTTGCCTTATTATGAAAAGAGTTGACCAGAAGGTTYCATTTCCTGTCCTCTTCTGTAAAACAGAAGTTAATTACTAAATGACTTCATAGGAATATCGCAGGATGGTACTCGATGCTTTTAGATGCTGGGACAGAAAGCAGAATTACCAAGAAATACAGATCATCAGGAAATATTTCTAAAATACAAAGCCACAGAACTGCTGGGAAGAGACTTCACCATGTGTTGCATGAACTGTCTTTCTCTGAATTTCTGCAGGGAATTACAGACTTGGATCTCACTTGACATATTCATAGCTTTTTCCTAAAAGCACCTAGAGTTCGTGTCCTCTGCCACTGTTATAGTTAAACCATAATGACAACTTGGACAAATGATTGGATCTGCCTAAAATAGAACAGCTCTTGTCACACTAAGAATGGCTTTACAGTTATGACATGGGACCAGTACTTTGGAATCTATTCATGGCTGTGCCACGTGCATCCTTTTTGACCAGGGGAGATCTTTTGACCTCTCCACACCTCAGCCCTGAGGTCAGTGGAACAGCTTTGAAATTGAATTACATCGGGGTTTTCAGTCTAAAATAGAAGAAAACAAACAAAAAAGTTGCAATTTCCACCCATTTCACGTGAAACAAAGTCCTCCTGGGGGTTCAAAGTTCCCTGGGCACCACACAAGTCAGGACCTAACTGAATTACACTGGCACTCTATACCACATATTCAGGCACAGCCCACACAACCTCTCTCTCACATTTGGTCCTCATTACTTTTGAATTTTACAGAAAGGAGAAAGGTCAAAGGGAAAAGTTTATTCATTGTCTATGTTAGTTAAAAATTAACACAAATATTTGAGTGGTAGTCCTCAAAATCTATTTTCCCAGTGTGATAACCAGTGTTTAGAGCCTCTGGCCAGCTAAATTGGTTTCAGAGGTCACAGTAGTGGGTTCTGACTTMCTGGGAAAATTATGGTTTGGAGAGTTGGCTGTCTCAACAGTTCCTTTCATAGACAGAATATGTTGCACAAAACCTCCTTTCAATGTCTTTTTGAACAATTGTGATCCCATCACATTCCATGTGTATTACCTGTGGCTAAAGGGAAGCTTATTTGATTACATTACTTCAACTTTTGAAAGAGTCAAAAGCTGGAGAAAACTAGTTTCCCAAAAGGCCACCTAAAGCCTGCTTGTCATACTGTGTGTCAGCARATTTGTCTAGGTATTGAATTCAGTTGAGAGCCCTCATAATTTTTTCTTGGAACTTCTGAGGTGACAAATTTTGAATTTATCTACCTTCAAAAACATAAACATGAAATTACCTGGCAGTTTATCTGTAGAGTTCAACACTCAGAAGGCTGAACAAATTTGTTGGAGGTACACATGAATTTCTGGCAAATGTTTACAATGACATAGGACAGATTCTAAAACTCCCTAGGAATACTGATGAAACTACAGACTGTCATAGACTCATATTTCTCCCTCATAAGGACAAAGCCAAGATAACCACTTGCCTCTACACAGAAACATTCCTATAGTTTATCAGGTGCCTGATAAACTTACACTACRAAATTAAATCATAGTTTTGCCACAGTTCAAGCCCAAAGTTGGCCCCGTAGACAAAGCTACTAAACAATGAGCATTTTAATCTATATACACAAAGGCAGAATCAAGGCTTGTGTCTATGTTTTCTCTTTCACAGACATGTACACAACTGTCTTTTGACCATCCTTTCAATGGTTATTAGATACACGGTGACCTAGTTACTTCGTATGAATTCAATAACTAGAATGGGTCACAACAGATATGACATGTGACTGGAAACCTTTTCAAGCCACAATGTAGATATATTTGTTCCACCAGATAAGAATGGAATTCAAATAACAATCATTCAGTGAAGCACTGTTGGAATTGTATATGCAATGTACTAGCTACACATGTCCTAGAAATTAGGCCAAAACCAACTTTCTTTGGGCAAGGCCAAACATGACCCTGTTAGTCATAACACAACWCCTCATCTGTGGTATGGAAGTCATTTGAGCAGATAATAGCCTCATAACATTTTACACAAAGTGAGTGTTGCAGCAGGATGAACAAACTTATATAGCACAGACTCAATTAATATTGCTAAAGCCATGATTTCAGCCCAGCAGTCTTACAGAAATGTTAAACTGAAAATGGAAAGTCCCATTTTATATCTAAATAAGGCTGTTGTAGTAAGAAAAGTATTACAGTAGTTCTGGCCTGAATATAAAATATCTTCCAGACAACGGCTACAATTGAGCAGAGTACCATTTCCACCATCAGGTACCCAATAAATGTCTGGAACCAGCAACTGTGTATCATCAAAACTGATTTATTTTCACACTGATCCCTAGCACCAAGCCTTCCATTCCCAAAGATTACAAAGAAACCCAAATGTCCCAGGATATGCACTGGCAAAGGAGAGGGCTTACTCCACAGTTAGCACTTGTTTCTGCTCTTATTCCTTTCTGTTAATACAGATAAAAGTAAAAATATATATTTTTAATATTCCTTTGGAATGTAAGGTATTGCTGTAGCCACTGCAAATCACATAACCACAAAAATAGTACATCAGAGTTGGGAAAATGACTGGTAATATCTGTGAAAAAAGTAGCACCATTTTTAGAGAAAAAAATTCCAATATTCTTACCAAAAAAAAAATAGCTAAACAGTGCCACTTGAGATTTAAAAACTGTTTTAGGTGTTGTATGTGTCAGCACAGCCAATGTATTTACATAACCAGCCACGACATKCCAGTATTCATGACCCTTACCAAARTGAGGTTCAAGTGAGAAGCATCATCAGCCTGGTTTACAGAGAGAATGATGAGAGTGACCTACAGGAAGTCTCTGATCAAACCAAGTGCTAAATCTAGAGTCCCTGTCYAGTGGTTCAACCACTGCCCTATCCTCCTTTCTTAAACTTAGCACTGGCCCTCCATTCATAATGAGTGAAGAAACCACAGCTTGACCTCTGAGAGACCTTCCCCTTCCTGAAGGGATCTCTCTCCTGTGCCACCACATCCACTGGGATGGAGGAAGACAGKGCTTACCTGGGCAGCCCTTATGGTTCTGATCTGTTTTCTTTGCACTGAAGAGCAAAGGTGCCTGGATTTCCACCATTTGGTGACACACACTGCTCTGTGTCTGCAGTGCCAGGACAAACCTCAGAGCCATTGAGCACAGCTCTCAGGTGAGAGCCCAGCAGGTACACCATGTATCCTATTAACACACTAATGAGCTATTGTTCCGTGGAAGCTTCATTGGTTTTCTGTTTCTCCTCAAATGCCAGCAGTATTTCCTTTGGCTTCACAACTGTTTAATAAATTTGTGATGAAAGAAGATTTTGACTAGCATTCATGGGATTGTTCATGATCATGCAGCTCTGAGCATGTTTTTTAGTTGTACTCTTTCAACAAACACATGCTTTAATCACAGCTCCCTCCTAACAAAGAGTAGCAAAGTGAAAGTAGAGGATAAAGAATAAATGCAGAATTTTTTTTCAGCATTTGCCTCAGCAGACTAATTAAGACAAATAAA